GTCGCGGCTGTTGGACGCGTGTCCGCCATCGTGCTCTCTCTGCTCGGCGACGGCTTCGCGGGAGGCAAGGTAATGTCCGGGACACGTCCGAGACGTTTCCGGGACACGCCTGCGGGGCGGCGCCGTCTAGCGAGGAGCAAAGCAAATGCGGGTGGCGCAGCGGAGGGGGGAGTGGCAGTGCAACGCTCGCCGCCGCCGTCGCCGCCGCTGGATCTCCCCAGCATGCCGCCTGCCCCCCCCCCGCCAGAGGTTGTGTTTGTGTCGCCCGAGCTCGCTGGCTGGGGCTCGGTGGGCGGTCTGGGGGCGATGGTCGCTCACCTGGCCGCCGGCCGCGCAGCTGTGAAGAGCGCCTCTTCACACCTGCGGCTGTGACTAGGTCGCTCACCTGGCCGCCGCCCTGGCCGCTCGTGGGCTGCGTGTATCCGTGGTGCTGCCCCACTACGCGTCGCGCGGCGGCGGCAGCAGCGGCGCGCCGCACGCCGCCGCCCACCTCTTCGACTTGTCGGTGCCGCTAGAGCCGTCGAGAGGCGACGAGCCGCCGTCGGAGGGGGGGGGCAGGGGGTACCCTACCGATCCCGGAACCCGAACCCAAGCGGACGACGAGGTAGGCGACGCGCCGCTCTCTGTGCTGCACGGGGCGACGGAAGGCGGCGTCCGCGTCTCCCCGCTGCAGTCCGTCGGTCCACCGACCGCGCCAGGCCCGACCCCGGCTCACTCCAGTCCCAGGCGGCGTCCGCGTCTACCTGCTCCAGTCCGACGTCTACTTCCGTGCCCCGTACGCCCACCGCTCCCCGGCCGACGCGCTGCTGTCCGCGAGCCTCCTCTCGCGCGGCGCCCTGCTGCTGCTCGAGCGCCTCTCCGCCTCGCCCGCCGCCCTCCTCTCCAACGACTGGGTGGCCGCGCTGGCGGCGCCGTACGCGAGGCACGGAGCCTGGCGGCGCGCCGCCAGGCCGGGCGGCGGGCGGAGCTGGCCGGAGCGGTGGCGGGGCACGGCGTTCGTGCACTTGGTGCACAATCTCGAGCCCGGCTACGACGGCGCCCTGAATGAAGAGATTCATTAAGAGTGATTGATTACCACACATCATTAAGAGCCGGCTACGACGGCGCCCTGAATGAAGAGATTCATTAAGAGTGATTGATTACCACACATCATTAAGAGCCGGCTACGACGGCGCCCTGAATTAAGAGGTTCATTAGGAGTGATTGAACATCATTAACAGCCGGTTACGACGGCGCCCTCCTCCGGGCCCTTGATTGTGCACCTCCCTAAGCAGAGGCACGAGTCCAGGGAGGAGCTCCCCTTTTAAGGAGACGCACAAGTCCACGATGTCGCACTGCAGGCGCGCCTTCGCTGGAGGCGGCGCCGGCACCCGCCCCCCCCCCCAAAAGAGCTCCTCGCGGCACGTGTCGTTGGTAGGTTCCTTCTCCGGGGCCGAGCCGGCGCTGTCCCCCTCGCAGCTGCTGGGCCTCCCTCCCGCCCTTCTGTCGGAGGAGCGGCCAGGCGCTGCGCTCGCTCGCCTCCCCCCCCCCCCCCCCACAAAAAGAAAGACGCGCCCGCAAAAGGGCTCCGCGCGCCTCGCATGTCTTGTTCAGGCGCCGCGCCGCGGGCGGGGAGAGGGTGGCGCGCCTCGCTCACGCGCGCGGCGCTGCTGACCGCCGACAGCTGGGCCACTGTCTCCGCGTCCTACCGGCAGCAGCTGCTGCGCGGCGGCGGCCCGCTCGCCCCGCTTCTGCGAGCGTTCCCGGCGCCCTTCGCGTGCAAGCTAGGCCTGCCCCTGGCGGAGCTCCGCGCCTCCCTCCACGCCGACGGACTGCTCGGCTTGACTGGCCACGCCGCCGCCAAGGCGTCGATCTCTGTCGGTATCTCGGCGATCTCTCGGCGATCTCTCGGCGATCTCTCGGCGATCTCTCGGCGATCTCTCGGCGATCTCTCGGCGATCTCTCGGCGATCTCTCGGCGATCTCTCGGCGATCTCTCGGCGATCTCTCGGCGATCTCTCGGCGATCTCTCGGCGATCTCTCGGCGATCTCTCGGCGATCTCTCGGCGATCTCTCGGCGATCTCTCGGCGATCTCTCGGCGATCTCTCGGCGATCTCTCGCCCACGCCGCCGCCAAGGCGTCGCTGCGCCGGCAGTGCTTTGGCGACGGCTGGCGTGCCACGCTGCAGGCAGCTAGTTAATTAGTTAGCAGCGAATGAATCAATTGGCAG